CCAACTCTTTTTGCGATATGTTTGACAAAATAAAACATTCTCAACACTTCTTACCACAAAAGCCCGGCCAGAAAAAACGACTGCAGAGTCGGATTCTCGGCCCTCGAAAACCTATAGCAAAGATTCATCAAAACGTCGAAAATCCTTAAAATGAAAAAGCTCATTTCTGATTGGCTGGTTCCCGACCAATGAAAGCTCGGCAAAAAAAACAACTTCAGATTCGGATTCTCGGCCCTCAATAACCTATAGCGAAGTTTCATCAAAACACCGAAAATCCTGAAAATAAAGAAGCTCATTTCTGATTGGCCGGTTCCCGACCAATGAAAGCTCGGCCAAAAAAAAACGACTTCAGATTTGGATTCTCGGCCCTCGATAACCTATAGCAAAGTTTCATCAAAACACCGAAAATCCTTAAAATAAAAAATTGAGGGTGGATGTTTTTTTGACCTTGACACAAACAACGTACAACGTACATACAAACAAACTATTTTTTTTCATATGACCCTCACTACAGTCGAGGGAATAACGGGTCTCACCCATGGGACCCGTCGTGTCGAATGTGTTAAACTGTAATATTTCTGAACACAGGATATTGAAAAACTGACATTTAATCCATCAGTTGCAAAAGTTCATGAGCGATATATTCAATTGCAATGCTTCCTGTAATCCCTCCTGCAATACCACCAATTAGACCTCCAACAACAGCACCTATTGGAGCACCAACAGCTGCACCTACTGGACCCAACGTTGCACCAATACCTGCACCAATTTCTGTTCCCAACCAGGCTCCACCAGCTGCCCCTCCTGCTCCACCTATCCATCCACCGGCTATAGAAGCACTCACCGTTATGGTTTTATACGGTACTGTTTTGCTTCGTTGTGCTTCTTTCAAACACGCTTCTAAGTATTCAACGATTTCTCGAATATCTTTCCGTTTTTCGCCATCTTTTTCTTCTTCCAAATGTTGTCTTAATTCTCTTATTGCCTCTTTATAGAAATTAATTTCTTCTTCCACATTAACATCATCCCATACTGCCTTTATAAATCTTACTCCATCAGTTATCAAGGACACCACAAGAAGACCTCGCCCAACATATTTCAATGTTGTATTTGCTACCTTTGCACCCTGTATAACTTTTCCAGATACTTCGATATGTGGATTGAGTTTGTTTGGATATCCTTTTGGATCGATATTAATATGATGAAAATCAGCTCCTTTATGTGGATTGTCAAATCGAATAATAGGAAGTCCTAATAAATGAAAACAAATAGACAATAGAAATAAACAATACAATTCAAATTTTTAAATTGATATTTTTTTCTTATAATATGAATTATTCGAGATGCAATTATATCATTCTTAAATAGCTATTTCTGTGGAAATTTCCACAGTAAAATCTCTATTAATGAACACCGCTCAATAGTGAAAATCTTCTTATCATGAACGTTTTTTTCAGCCGAGTGGTATTCACTATAAAGAGGTTTTACTGTAGTGTTTAATAATAGTTGATAATACATCATGATCATCATTTTCATGAAGATAAATTTTTATTATTTGTTTCCATTTCAATTTACCAGTAGGTTCTCCATTCTTGATTCGACCTAAATGCATATCTCTTATCCCAGCTTGAGTTGCATCGTTCAAATGACTTGATGGTATCAGCTTATAGCGCGTTTGCATTGCTTTACTCATTTGCAATATCTCCATGATTCTTCCCAATTTCTTTGGATCCTCGGTGTATTTTTTGTCCTCTTTATCAGCCGACATTCTGGTTTTGAATTTAGTCTAAAACAAAAGATTAATCTAAAATATTGATATTGAAGGATAAAGTAAATCCATGTAATGAAAAATCTATTTTTGTGTCATGATCTCACCCATGTAAAAGTGTATGCAAAATTTAACGATTTAACGAAATTTAATGTTACCTTTCTGTCCTTGAAAACGCGTTAAAATAATATTAACGAAGAGAAACAAGTGAGAATTCGTTAAATTCATATTTTAACGCGTTTTCAAGGACAGAAAGGTAACATTAAATTTCGTTAAATCGTTAAATTTTGCATACATTTTTACATGGGCAGTGAAACGATGTATTTGATTGGTCAGTTTTCTTGTATCTATTCTTGAAAATATCAGTTTATAGTTTCCTTTAACAAATCTTCAATGCGAAAAAAGCCACATCACACAGTGCTTGATTCTTAAATTGGTAATTCGTTATAGTTCAAATTTCAATACTACTCGCTATTCAAGCAAGGAACAACATCAAATAATATACAATGTAATAAAAATCTAAATCAGAAGAACAGATTCAAGCAGTAAACGACTATGAAATGAAATAAGAAAAAAAAATGCTATTTTTATAATGCAGTGACATTTTTATCGGAATCTTCCGATTTAGTCGTCATATTTTTTACCTTTACATTTACTTGCATTTTTTCTTTCGTTTCTGTGGAATATTTCACCACGTCACGGATGTATATATATATCTTCACTTCTCTTATCTCGTTGTTATATTTCTACCCTATTTGAAATAAACTATCATTTCATCCTACAATCTTTCTTGATCATACGTCGAGAGGTGATCATTTTCAATAGGTAATTGAGATTTCGAAATATTTTATTTGATGTGTGTTTCTCTCTCTACTCATATTTTGAATCCCAAGCAGACAAGCAACAAAAAATAACGCGTTAAAACGCGTGAGAACCGCATATTTTTACGTTTTTATACATGTTAAAGGACAGAAAGGAGTGTATGCGAGTATTCAAGACGGAATTTTTACTTCCATTGACTTTCGGTGATTCACGTCATTCAGAGAAATAAATGATGTTAGTCGTGCTTTGGTAGCTCAATGGTTAGAGCACTGGTCCAGATAACCAATTATCCTATTATGGGTTCAATTTCCGAACGAAGCCTATCATTTATTTTTCTGAATGATGTGAATCAGCGAAAGTCAAAGGATGCAATAATTCAGTATTGAATATTTATGATTTTAGAATGTGAGTGCCGGTATGGGTGTAGGATGGGTGGGTGTGAGTTTAAAATCTTCATCAACGAATTCACCCACACCCGCATCCACGCTGAGGGCTGGACGATATCCCAAAAAAACGAGATGTTGTTTTCCATATAGCAGAACTCCTTTACCCCACACAAAAGTCACACAAAAACGCTTTTAATAGTGAGACACAATCCATCACTAAATGTTTTCAATCAAAAACCCGCCAATGACACCCACTCTTACAAAGAGAAACGCATAAGATATAAGGACAAATCGATCAGATTAGTCATACAATAGAAACAGGAATGAATATAATTATTTTTTTCTATAAGAAGAAATTAAATTTTCTTTCAAACAATTTTTTCTTTCCGTTTCTTCTTGAGAAATCGTTTCTCCTCAATGCAAACAGTTTCTGCTTGCAAAAGCATTTCTCCTTGGAAGAAACAATTTCTGCTTGAATCAAAATACATGTAGAAGAACAAAAAAAACACACATGTTTACATTTGTTCTTTTCATGTCTTCTTGATATATATGATTTTATGTGGGTGAAGCATTTCTCTATAAATGGGAACAGTTTTCCGATCAACTGGTTTAGTTGTCCAGTGCTACCCACATCCATACCCTAATTGAGAGTAGCATTTTAAGTTGGATAAAATTTACTTTTTATTGATCAATTTTCAATATTTTCTGGAAGCTATCTAGTAACAGAACAAGTTGAGACACTGTCAGACATCGTAATTATTAATTAAAACAGATATTCTACGGTTAAATGAAGTTGTTGTAATCAATAATTGAGATCTGAAACTGAATAAATCGAAGAGAGCTCCATTAATGTATTACGGTCAGCTATCAGATTTATACAGCAGAAAACTGAATATGCCGTAGATCGACACCAATTAGAAATCTCTCTAGACCCGTTAAAATACTACGAAACACATAGTTTGTAGCCAACAGTTACAGAATTTCGAGTTAAATTCGTGTTGGACATCGGCAAACTCAGGATTTTCTTTCTTATCACAACTCGATAAGATCTATTACTTCATCCAATATATATATTCACTTCAATATTAGATCGAATACAAAACCGCAGAATGCTCTCGTGTATACAGATTCAAATAGAGTTCCGTTCTGGTATTTATTTTGATACTTACGCTAAACCTGTTTTTCAGGTTCTTTTGCAGCCTATATCTGGAATTTTCTTTACCGGCTATTTGAGCATTCCATTAGGATCGCAAGCAATTTGAGATAATACTCATGAACTTTCTCCATATGTAAGATATGTGAACAATGATATACTGAATGGAAATATCCGACGTCATGGATTCTTAAAACCCCGTGGGCCCTAGTGTGCGAATATGGGTGAAGATGCCATGCTCCTGCGGATGCCCATGTCAGTGTATATTTTTTGTTTGCTACACACATATTGATCCGCGGAACGCGTTTACGCTCACCCACAGCCTGAAAATATGCACATTCAGCACATTGTCATGAAGATCTCGCACTCATGTGCTCACTAAGTATAAAGTGTGTCGGTGTGAGTGTGGATGTGAGCGTGGGTAGGTGTGAGTTTAAAATCTTCATCGATACAGTAACTCGTACCCACAGCCGCACCCAACCACCCCACACCTACTCACACCCACCCATCTCTACATCCTATCGATTTCATCGGTATATTAGATAGATAATTAGTGAATCATTCATGACTGTGAAATAAATTATTAACCCTGTTCGAAAATTGAATAAGTGATACGGACTACTTTAGAAAAAGCAAATTAAAATCTTAGTCAGAATTTTTTTAGAGAAGATATTTTTGTGTAAAAACGTCGAATTGTTCTTATTGTTTCGACTTTGCTTCTTTGGTTTACATAGATATTTTTGGAGAAAAAGCAGAGAAAAATAAACACATTTGTAAATCTTAACTGCTTGGGATACGAGATCATATTCTTAGTGTAGTTTTAAAGAATTACTTTATTTCATATGAAAGATTTCTGAATGTTTTAGATATTAATATTCGAGAAAGTGAACATTTTCTTTGTTACAATTCATTCTAATTGCTTAAAGGTAATTAGCTATTGTATTACTTTTCTGGTTTAGTTCATAATAGATTTGTCTTTAAAATTTGAACACTCGAAGTACGATGAATTTCACGGTGAACAAGATTAATGAAAATATAATTTCATTAACTCAAAGTGATTCTGATTCTGATGGTTCGAAATGGGTGGAAAGCAAGAAATTAATAGCTCGCAAAATTTTCTGTCAAGATCTATCAAAATTGATTGCTGTGGTGTCGAAAATCGATCTGACGGATATATTAAGTGATCAAGTATCAAGTTTCTGTGATTCTATCAAATGCAATGCTGATTTATCAATAACATCGCTGAAATTTAATAATATCGAATATTTTGTAAGGTTAATGGAAAATGTACCTGAAGAGATTATTGATGATTTAGTGGATAGTCAAGAGTTTATATGGGGAAATTTGTGGCTATTTCACATAAATAAAACTGAATCAAATTTGAATGATAATTTAATTAACGAGATAAAATGTGTGATATCAAAATGCACTTTCAAAACAATGCCTAATATCAATAGTGAATTACTGGCAAGTACATCTGATGGTTGTGAATTGTTGTGGTTCAATCCAAGTTCAAATACAAATTTAATAAATTGACGATCCTTTATGATAAATTACCCATTTTGTCTCTATTTCCTTTCGGAAAACATCTTGATTTGTTTGCCTGTTTAAGTAGAGTGTTAATCATGTGTGTAATAAATGATAAAACATGCTACTTATTGAATGTGTGGGTTAGGTATGATTGGAGCAGAAATGCTTGAGAATGACGTGTGGATGAGCTCAAATGATATAAATCAAAAGTTACAAAGATAAATAATCGTATCACTTGAGCGTGTGGGGTGTGGGTATGGATCTGGTTGTCCATGATGGAAATACTCATACCTACTTACACCCACACATCCATTCCCACATCCACACCTCACAAAGATGCATAGTCAACTAGAGGTATTTCATATCAATAATGAACCAATCTTCATTATCATTGTATAAATTGTCGATGCTTGAATTTCATTAGAAATCATGACGTATATACACAAGCAAGAAAGATTATTTGTTCTTTACGTAGCTATTACCTGTAAAAGCTAACACAACCAGACTCTGCATGGCATACCCTTTCATCCAAGAAAAAATGAAGAACTCATTTTCCATCTTGTAGCTGCAGATGTAACTGTCAATAAAGAAGAATAACTACGCCTACGCCCGCATTTTGCCTATATTCCCTAGACTGAAAGGATAGGGTCTAGAAACCGTAATTCACCTGTGTCTGTTTGTCCGTCTGTCTGCCTGTAACAAGCGCTTGGTACAAATGAGCATTTTTATGGTACCAATGACCATTTCCATGGCACAAACGACCATTTCCGTGGCACAAATGAGCATTTTTATGGCACAAATGATCATTTCTATGGCACAAACGACCATTTCCATGGCACAAATGACTCTTTCCGTGGCACAAATGACCATTTCTGTGGCACAAATGATCATTTCTATGGCACAAATGTCCATTTTCATGGCACAAATGATCATTTCCACGGCTCAAATGGTCATTTGTAAGGTTAAAAAAAAGTTTTTTTTCACACAAATTACGAGGCTATTGACCAAGAACTGTTTTACTGTAAACAGTGAGATCGTTTTCGCGTGCATGTATGGGAGACACGGAAGTGATGTAAAAAGCCTTTGCGCCTCATTGAGTTTGAGTTCTCAATGTGAAGTTGATGGAGAACAGTAAAAAATATGAGGATGTGTGCATCATGGCGTTTGAAAGGTTTTTCAGCAGTGGAGAAAGGCGATTTTACCACAGATGAAGCCCAGGCTGGGAAAAGAGACATCGTAGTGTTTAAATTATGAGCAGTAGAGCATAGTAAGTGGTTATGTAGTACCATGAAGACAACGAAATATTTCGAAATATATCTTTCCAAGATGCTATCCTAATGCTTACAAATAGTATAATGTCAGATAGGATGCAATAGGTAGAACGAACAATGAAAGAGTATTTAAGACGGTGACATGAGTAATTTATTTCGAATATTAGAAAATATGAGCTGTGCTCGAACATGAAAAACTTGTAAATGGTGCAATAATGAAAGTTCAAATGTCAGACTGGATGATCGACAACATATGAACAGACATATTTGGCTTTAATAAACAGCCGAATATCTAGTAGCAGTCAGTAAAACACATTTTTTGTACTTGATTCGGCGGATTCTTTTCAGGTAATGTGGGGCCAAATGCCTTAAAGCACGTTTGTCGTACACCTTCTACTCTGTCTGTGTCTTACTCCTGATGTTCGTGATGGTAAATAAAAGAACATGTATGAATCTGATGTCAATCGAATATACGAAATATTTCTAGTTGCCCGTGTTAAAAGTGAATACACGCAACTATAAGCAACCATGTCGTTAAAACAAGTGGTGTAAGAGAATGTTTTCAGTGACTAAAAGATTGTATTATCTGTTAGTTTTATTCCCATCGCTTTTTTTTCGCTGAATCCTTTTTCTTCATCTCATCTTGTTAATGTCATTCGAATCAAGTGGAACATTCTTCTCCATGGTGAGAATTTGAATGAAAATGTTTGGTACTGCAATGTACTAGCAGTTGCCTCATTTGCTCAGTCTAGGGCCCAGTGAATCGACTTTTAACGTCGATGAACCTTACTTGTTGTCTCACTGAGATCCAGAATGAGGATATCTCACAGATGGAAGCATTGCCGAAACTTGAGTGTAGCACAAATTTTATTCGAATAGTTAAGATCTATCTGCTCTCAAACTTTCATTCTCTCTAAAAAGCCGTTCCTGAGAAATTTACAGAAGATGGAATGTCTAGAAAAAAAGCTTATCAACTGCATTTTTGGCCTAAAAGATGAATCGATTTCAAAGCTGTTTCCACGCGTCCCACGATAATTCTTATGGCACGTTGTAAACCTCAGTTAAGTCTTTCAGACTAGACAACTCCGGCAAAAAAAGAGCTGACAGCAGTCTGGATAATCGAGGCTCAAAATCGCGATTTTGGCAAAAAACCATTGTTTTTCGTAAGTGTCCTGACCGGAAACTTCACTCAATGAAGCTGAAAATGTTTTACAGAGAGATCTTATTGAGGTCTCTTTGTAAAAAGAATTTCAGATCTCTATCCTTTTCCAGACCCGAGATATAAACCACCAAAGTTGGTCAAAATAATGCTTTTTGCCCCTAGTAATGAACTCCTTAGAATACTGAGAGCTCAATTGTTTGAGCTGAAATTTTTCTTATCTGCAGAACTTATTAGTGTGTGAATGTAGAGAAAGTTTCAGCTCAACCTGCAAAGCCGTTCTTGAAATATAGGGCCTTCAAAATCCCTCCTGAGCATAATGCCGTTCTATAGTGCTTTCAGTAAAAATGCGCTAAAAAACGAACGGTTCAATATTTTTTAAATCAGCTTGCGCCAAAAATCATCAAACACTTGCCTCTATCACATACATTAAAATGAGCTGGATTGGAGGATATCGATTGAGCGGTGATATAGAGAATCGGTCGTGGCTTACGTGGATTGGCTGAAAAATTGTTTCTTCGTACATAACCATATTCATTACAGTTAGCTAGACACTAATAACTACGCTGATGATACATTTCATTTTGAACCACTTCTATTTACGCGAGCCAATTCTCAACATAAGCAACTAACTTAAATAGCTTTCACAGAAAAAGGTTTAATCTTCTTACTTACTTTATGTGATTTATATTCTTGGATGAAAGTCTCTCCCTTCTTTATTTCTATGCTATGATACTTTGCATCAAATTTATGATCAAAAAAGATAAGGTATAAGAGTTTTATTTCAGTATCATGTATACTATATTGAAATAAAACTCTTATGCCGTGTCTTTCCTCGGCAATAAATTTGAGGGTGAGAGTGAGGGGGTGGGCATACAAGAAAAACTACCACAACCGGTATCGATCTTATTTTTCAAAGACCTTATCGAGTGGTAAAGTTATCTGCATAAAGAATTAAAATTAAACCAAATCGGAAAAAAATCAAAAGACTTTTCCGACGATTCAAGTTTAATTGGGTGTGGGTGTGGGGAATGGGTGTGGGTGTGGGTGGGTGTGTGGCTGTGGGTGGGTGTGGGTGTGGGTGTGCGTGGGTGTGCGTGTGGGTTGTGTGGGTGTGGGTGTTTGTGTGGATGATGAGAATATTAACACTCGCCCGCACGCCCACAGCATACCCTCACATCCCACACCCACACCCACACGCACACCCACACCCACACCCACACCCCACACCCACACCCACACCCACGCCCACACCCCACACCCACACACCCACACCC